ACATTCAAATAAAGATACCAAATAGGCAGCCGGCTATATAGAGTATAAGAGGAAGAGTTTGGGAATGAGTCAGGTCTATGTGAGACTCCCTCCAAAGGCTTGTAGAGAACATTCTTTATTTTCAGCATTCTAAGATCTTAAGGTCTTTTTCACATCAAGGTTTTGGACACCTTATTAATCATTACATGAAGTTTGCGTACCCCTACCCTTCCCGAACATACACAGCTACTTACTTTTGCTCCCTCTTTCTCTCTCTTGCTATCCCTTCCTTCCTTATATAAGCTGGCTTCTTATTTTATAAGTCTCAGCCTAAATATTATCTCTTCAGACTACCTTACCTAAAGCCAGGTATCTTTCTCCTTGCATTAGTCTCAATTATGTACTCTGTTTTCTTCATAACCTTTATCACAATTTGTAATTACTTACGTGTGTGTTGTCTGTCTTGTTTACTCTTGTATCACTAGTCCACAACCCTGTGCCTGGCACATGGCTGCAAAATAATATTTGTTGGATAGGAGGAAGGATGGGTCTAGAGCTCAGAAATGACGGTAGGAGATAAAATTTGGAGGTTATCTACATATAGGTGGCATTTAAAGCTATAGTAGTAAATGAGATTGCCTTGAGAACATGTGTAGAGAAAGAAGAGAAAAGGGCCCAGTAACAAGCCCTGAGGGACTTGCCAACCTTAGAGGAGACCAGCAAAGAAGCCTGAGAAGGAATGGGAAAGGATAGAGGAGGAAAACCAGATTGTGTGTCCTGAGGCCTAGAAAAGAGAAATGTTTTAAGGAGTCAGTGATTAACTGTGTAAAACAATGCTGAGAGGTCAAATAAAATATATCCATTAGATTTAGCAACAGAGGTTACTGATGACCTCAGCAAGAGTTTCACTGGGGCAGAGAAAGTGGAAGTCACATTGGAATAGATTAGAGAATGCCAGTCATCATAGTAAATAAGAAAGTGAACGGATACTTGGCTTTAAGATGCTTACCATCCAGCAAAGCTACCTTTGGTTTAATTCTGTAGAACTAACACTCATATGCCCACATGGGTGTATAGGTGTTTAATAATGAGTATACTTTATCAACTTTATCTTTAACTAGAAACATTTACTTCTCTTTTGATTGTAGTATACAACAGGCTGTTTAAAACTTAAAATAAGAACAGAAAAGAAAAAAAAAACTTGTTTCAAGAAGGTTTTTTTGTGTTTAATACATTGGAGCCTTGTTTTGTTGCCTCCACCATTCTTGGAGTTGTCTTAAGATAGGTATAGGGGTTAGGTTGCCAAAGTGTGCCTACATGCTACCTGCTGCAAGAATGCCAAGTGTGTGGCAGAGTGAGGCCTGATGTCTTTGTGTTTTCATATGACTGGCTTTTTCTGCTTTATATGTGCAGAGGTTTCTGCACCCAATTTCAGCCAAAATCT